TTTCCCCAGGCATCCGCTTTTGGCCATACTTCAAAACAAGATACCAGCGCTGATGAACCTTTTGCCTCTCTTGCAGGATCACTGTGTGCGGAAGGTCGATGTGACCAAGCTCCCATCTGTGCCATGAAGCTGGAGACAAGAAAGTGGCAAAGAGCTTCAGAAAGGTAAAATATATAAAAAAGCACCTTTTTGATCCTATCAGTCAGAGCTCTGGCTACTGTGACTTAGCAAGAAAATTCCCCAAACCAAGGTCCGAGTGCTTTACAGCTATGCAAGTTCATAGCCCAGGCAAATACTTCTCTTCTGGAACACTAAAAAAAATAACGGGAGTCTTGAAAAGGAAGTGTTCCTCAGTACTGACTGTCCTACATGTGAACGAGCGAGACTGGTTAAAGCTTAATTAAAAATTGCCAGAGTGGCTAAATTCTTTCCTAAGTGCAGCTGCAAAACGTTAGCTGTGGGCATATTTTAGGCCTTAATTAGTAACACTTGCACTGGAGGACCAAAATCTTTCATGAATGCAGCTGCAGTCAATTAATATCAGTTAGGCATTTCTGTAGGCAACACAAGGGTCTCCTGAAAATTGTTTTAGTGCCCACCTAGAGTAAAAAAAATAAAATACTTATATGCAACAAACTACAAAATCGAAGATAACTACAAAATGTCTTTATTGAAAAAAGCAGATTATAGCATCTAAGGTTAAATGAAACTTCTGACTTTAATATTAAATAACTTAGAATGATAGCAAGTAGCTTCTTTAGATAAATAAATCTACATTTCCCAATTTTTTTCTTCAACAATCAAGGGAATCAAACAGTGAAACACAAAACCACAAGTAATTCTAAAGACTAAAAGACAGAAGCACATTGAAAGGTTTTACAAGGAGATATATACAAAAATAGTTAAACTAATGTATATTTTCAGCATGTAAACTAGTTACATGATATACAAACTGGGAATTTATATATTTCCTACAAAATAAAAATCAACGTTGGTCCAAGTTCTTGGAAGAAAACTATATTCTTTTAAAGAAAATGAAAATATTTCTCAAATGAAAACTTAATTTAAGTCAAATTATATACTCTAGTTACGGCATTAGTTACAGGATGAATCACAAACTTTTAAACTTTTCTTGAAACACAAGAAAGCAGCTTTTGTCTCCTTTTGAGCTTTGGTTTACTTAACTACTCTGGAATTTCTGGTCTTAAAGAGCTCCTCTAACCATGTTTTCCTTTTGAAGCTCCACCTTACAAAATATATACACACACGTGCACACAAGTGAAAGGAAAGAAACCCAAACAAACCCTCTTTGAAAGCTCAATTATCTGAGGGCATTCTTTTGTTTTGTTTTCAAATTATTATTTTGGTCGTTTCTTTGGAACGCGTCCTCCAGCGCACGAGGGACTCTGAATCGCCTGCAACAGCTTTGTGCTGTAGGGACTTTGTCAGATTCATTACCAACATGGAAAGGTGTAGTCCTGATGCAAATGAGAACAAGTTGTTGTTTTAACTTTATGGAAATATTCTGAAAGTACAGCAAAGGCTTCTCACGAACTATCAGATCACAAAATGAACTCACTCTAGAAGGTTTACAGTATCTGTGTTGAACTGATTTAATGTAAGAATACTCCTTAAGAAAATCCTTAAAAGATGCTTTCTCATTTACATAATTCCCCAGGTGCAGAAACTGTCACTAGCACTAAAGAGTACAGCACATCATTATTTTAGATTTGCTTTCATTTTTCTCTTTGATTGAAAAAAGAAAAAACCTGGCAAATTTCACTCAAGCTCCAGTTTGTATACTAAATGCTGGAAAAGCAAAGCTGTACTTCATTATACAGTAATGGCATGCACCTGTCTATAGAAAATACTGGAACAACAACTGCTGCTTTCTGGTTTTAAACAAATTGCTTATTCTATATTGAAATACTACCTTTTGATATTTTTACCATGATGATACTTGACACATTGGAACTGAGTAGAACTACGAGAGACTAACAAATTAACATGTGAAATGAAATTAAGTATTATTCTGTTCTACAGTATGATCGTTTTCAAAGAAGAGAAGGTAGGGTATGTACGTGTGTGTTAGCTAGTGTGCTGTCCCTTGAAAACTACGTTGGAGTGGAAACATCAACTTGCCACTGAAGGAGGCAAAGTGCGAAGGGAAGGTACCGGCAGAAGACTGGGCTGAACACCAGAGTAAGTCATCTCCATCTCGGGCCACGGTGATTTTGAAGGTTTTGCTTCTATACTGGTAGACCAAAGCATTTTCCAGTACAGCGAGTACTGTTATGGGATGACTTGCTCACAGAACAGACCCCAAACCTCTGTGTATTTTAATGATTGTTTTCTTAATTTGGGTTCCTTAATATATATTGTAAAGACAAGCAAGTAAAAATGCCTCAAAGCTAAATGTGGTCCAAAGCAGCTTCCTTAAATGGAAAAAGTATTACATTGCAGCTGATGCTAAAAGTTTATCCTGAAGCTCTGATATCTTCCGTATTTGTAATAACCTTAAGGAATTGACCTAGTCATACAATCCAATTTAAGACAATTTTTTTCCCCTTTTCTAGCATTTGCTGTTTGGGCGAGAGGCACATGTACTTCCGCTTCCTTCTGAGGCTGAGCTGGTGACTATGGCCAGAGGTAATGTCTGCAAACGCAGAAAAAGTGTGCATGCACGCACCCCATGTCCTCTCTTTTGCGGGCCAGGCCTCTTACGTCACACTGTAGAAATGGGGCACTAGTTGCACTGTACTTCCTTCAAAACATGGCTATCACATTAAATATGTTAATTGACGTTTTAAAGGAGCATCTGACTTGCCAAGGAGCATTCGGTAGGACAGGTTAATCTAGGCCAATAGAAGTTTGGCAACAGTTCAGGAAACATACCTTTTGTTCCTTACTAACAGGAAAAAAAGTAGTTCACAGGAAATAGGAAATTCCAGACTATCAGAAAGTTCTGTTAAGGGAGTTAATTATTCCACTTAGGAATTAGTGTCCATTGGATGTTCTTTGTACTTTTCAAGAGCACCACAAATGGCTTTCAAAAAATCAATGGAGCATAAGAAACTAAACTGCAATGGTGTTGCCAAATAAGTCATTTCATCAGCCTGCGTGCTGAATTTAACATGGGATCACTTATGAATGCATCGGTCAGATTCTCGACGTGTTGAGAACTGGCATGGAAATGTCCCAATTTACACATGCGGAGAATCTGGTCTGGTATTTCCACTTCCTCTGGAGCAGAAGAATTTTATTTTATTGTAATTTTGGATACAGTTAGACAGCAATGATGGATTTATTTAAAATATAAATTCAGGAAGGCTGGATCAATTCTCATGAGAATGCAAGGAATTTTTTAAACATACAGATGTGTGATTTGCATGTAAATCATCAACACATGGTAGAAAACAAACCATAAAAAAGATTCATCTAACTTCCTATATGGAAGACATATATTTCCCCAGAGCTCTGAGGTTACTGTAAAAGCTTATGCAAAATATGAAAGTGTGTACATTCTATGTACATCTAATACTTGTTACAAAATACCAATGTTTCAATGGTCTGACTCTCTAAAGTATTATTTCTGCTAAACTGTACTTTGTTTTCCAATGAAGACAATCAATCACTGTAATCAGTTCAAAAGTACATCTAGAAAAGAACACAAAGCTGAAAAGATAAACAAAAACCACTGTCCCCCTCTTTTTTAATAATGTGTCAACATACAATCATAAAGCAGTTGGTAACAAATGCAGTCTTGTATAAAACAAGTAGTATAAAGACAGACAAGCGTACCTTTGCATAGAAAGGGGCTGCTAACCCTATTAAACAAAAAACAGGTTTAAAAGATGAATTCTTTCAGTAAGTGCCAAATCATCAAGTTGATATGAATGCATTTTGAAACCATGGCTACATTTGTACACAGCAGGCAATTACAGAGGTCTCTCACTTTCTTCAACTGTTACGACCCTGCACATGCCAATCTTCTGGATATATTCCTCTCTAATGTGGCTTTTACACGAGATGCTCGCCATAGTTCTTTAACAAGCTAAATAGTCTTTGGATGACTGTGGAACCTTGTACGATGGAAAGCTGGCCTGATGCTTCTTCACAGAATGCCATTATTTAACCCACGCTGAAAACTGTCCTTGCTAAAAACACTTGTTTGTTTGCTTCCTATTCGCTACTGGGAATCTAAGTTTTAAAAAACATGAGACAGTATTCTCTAAGGCCAGAATTCAACAAAACTAGCTAAAATGCTAGCATTTATCTTATCATGCTTGCTGCAATATGAGAAGGTGCTAACTTTTGGAAAGTAATTCTACACTCCTTACTTGGGTGAAATCTCCACTGAAGGCAAGTGAGTAGGGAGTGCAGAGCAGCCCTCTGTACCATTGTTTTTAGAAACGTTGCCAGTTACAGTTTAGTGGTGAATTATTTGTTCAAGTATACGGTGTCTCAGTGAAAACGTCTAGATAAAAGAATGCGTATGTACAAGATCAGAAAAGGACCCCTCACCTCTGATTTAAAAAATAAATAGCTGGTTTAGATGGTTATTACTGGAATCTCATCTTTAAAGGAGCAGGAAAGTCATTTTTAGATTTTTGTCTTCTCTTTCAAATGGCTTACTGGTAATGGAAATGTCTTTCAGAGTTCTGTGACATGCATTGGATAGCTCGGAGGTGGATGTGATGGCAGTTTGATATTAAGGCGCCTGATATGACAGCCGTGGCAGAGCAAGTGACCCTCTAATGGGTAACAGCGATGGCCTTCCTCATCATTGAGCTGCAAGCCACAATCCTAGAAGAAGCATACACGTCCCAGATTAGTGAGTGATTCAGGTAGGTCATCTCACAACAATGTCGATCTATCCTGCATAACCCTGAGAGCTCCCTCCCATGCCTCCAAAGCCAGCAACCTCAAGGGTTTTTGGTAGGTAGACCCTGACTATCTCATATTAAGCAAAATGACATCACTGAAATCAAACAGGACAGTCTATAGTAGTACCCAGCATTGTTTTCCCCATTGTTTCCCATTCTGGTCTCTTCTTCATCTAATAAATGTTGATGCAAATCAGACAAAAACGGGCCAAGGACTGACCATAACACATACAAGCTGGAACAGGCTAGAACACAGGAGGAGCCAATTCTGCAACAAGGCAGCAAGCAAGAAATGGGGGAGCACAAGTAGAGAATGAGAGGAGTGAGAAAGAGGGGGAGATGAGACATGTTTTACTTCTGAAGCAGGGCTACACTTTCTCCAATTTGGAATTAAAAAAAATTAAAGACTTAAAGGCCAATGGTCCATCTTTAGTGGAAATATGTTAGTACCTCTGGGACCGGCACATAACTACAGGGACGACATGGGTGAACAACAGTGGAGGAACAGAGATAAAAAGAAAAACAACAAACAATGATCCTGCCTGCTGACTATTATGTACACTGCAATAGAGACAATCCTGGTTTTCAGTTGTCATCATTGTAATTTTGAGGACATTTGAAAGGCATGACAGTTTTGTGCTTGGACTTGATGTTTCAAGTATGTTAAACACTTAAAAATTGTTACTGTGACGAGGCCTGACAAACCAGAGGTTCTGAGTATGTAGCTGTGTACTTAGTAGAAAGGAAAAAAAAAATTAACAAGTTGGGCATATAGGTTATTTCAGTATTGAAAAACTTATGCAAAGTTTTTAATTGGACACAAAGTATGATTGTTCAGCTTTCGTAGCTCAAGTTAAAAATCCTCAAATTTTACAATGCTGAAATAAGAATGAAAAATGGGTTTTAAAGTAAGCCTTAAAACTGGAGTGTTAGTTTAGGGAGGCTTTAATCAAAGTTTCTGCCAAGGTAGTTTTCTGTGTGTTACTACGTTATATAACTTTATAGTCCTTTATATAAGATTTAAAATTCAACTCCTTGTTAGAATTTAACAATTTCAGATACCCTACAGATGTGCCAAATGTTCACAGCTTTTTCCTTCTCTAAAATTGTATTCCTTTTCTGCAACGAGAAAGCCTGCCTTCTCAGTGGATTTCAGTTTTAGAATGGGGGTCTATTGATCTGTAAACCGGTTTGAACTTCTCAGCAGAAGTTAAGTGGTTGCACAAGAAAAAGATAATATAGAAAAGCAGCAGAGTTTCCAAACTGGCTACTGGCTTTGCATGGCCACCAGGTGATGACGGCATTAACAGCAGAAGTGGCTGCGTAAGTCGTCATAGCCTTTGTAAAAGTCTCCATGTGAATACCTCAAAATACTGGCACTAACTTTCCTAGCAGTATTTGGAGACAGCAGTGACCCGGTGCATACAGTTTGAGAGCCTGATTTGAGACCACTAGGCAGTAACCTACCCCTGTTAACACATGGCTAACCCCCTGATTTCTGTACATAAATGCACTCTGCCATTCTGGGCAGATGTGGAGGCAGCTTGATTTGCCTCAAACTGGAAGGAGAATGGGGAAATGAATAATGAAACAGAACTGAAAATAAACCCCCATTGGGACATTCTAATATAAAGTCAATAGCCTGAGAGAGAAGGGGAGGGAGCTGTCATCTTAGGTGAAGCCTGCACAAAGCAATAGATGGGGGAAGGAGGAGGAGGGAAGTACAGCTCTCCAAAATGCTGCAATTTCCTGTGCCAATTTCTCTTTAAAAATTAATAGAAAAGGATGGAGTATCAGCTACCTCTGTTAGACCGAGACAGCTGAGTGGATGGGGTCTTCCTTACGTTTAGGTTCATATACATTTCAAGATGCCCTAAATTTTATTTTCTCCCTCAATCAGAAGTCTCTTTTGTAAAACCTTTTTGTACAAAAGTGCATAGAAGATAGTATTGCTGCATTTTTTGCCCGTGGTGCTAAGACAATTAGGTAGCACAGTTAGGATCTGTGTGGATATTTGCATGTTATATCAGAGTGCCAAACCTACAGCAAAAGGGAAGTTTTGGGTTGACCCCAAATTAAAGAGTTTGTTTCCTTCCTCATGGAACTCAGCTCTCCTCTCTGATGCAAGAGCACGAATCCCACAAATTGATCCGCCTCAATCAACGTTTAAATGTTCTGCACAAAAAGAAACTACTCCTAAAAGAAGTGACAGAAAGTCAGTGGTATCTCTGTTTCTTTTCTAGTAAAGATTCAATATTCATTCAGCATGGAAAAAACACAGATCCCCTAGAAAAGCCTTCCACTGTAGGAGTGAGGGTCCTTCCCTGCACAGGCAATGTGAATTCATGTCTCCTCAGATCAGAGCCACACAAGCTGTATCCAGAGATCAGGAAAAAGGAAACCGGCACCTCCTCTTTGTTCTCTCCTCATCTGGAAGTATCAAGAAAATTCAACCCAAACAACCAAACCCAGCTTTTGAAGTTAATATACTGGAAAAAAACCTAATTTGGTACTGGAGATGGCAGCACCACTTGCAGCCCAGCTAGCACTCATCCCTTTGCCTCCCTTCAGGAGCCATGGGGCAGAGCCCTACCTGCCCAGGTGTGCAAGAGCCAATGAGTGCACCCTGGGGTGAGAGTCAGGCACCTAGCAAAAGGCTGCTAGGCTTGCAGAGGCATCTGATGCTTACCTCACAGTGATAGCACTCCACGTGGTAGTCTTTGTCCATTGACACCACCCGAATGGTCTCCTCGGAGCCCTGTTGGGGAAGCAGAGAGAAGGTTAAGAGTGTGCTTTTAAGCGGTGTTTTCTCAATCTTTCAGTGCCCAACCTATCGCTTTGGAGAGCTGTTTCCCTGGGGGATCCCCTCTTCCTCCGCAGAGCAGAGCTCTGTGACCGCTGAGGGTCTTGTCCCCTGGCGCACAGCACTGCACCGCTGTTTTTGCTGTTTAGCAGCAGCGTGGGTGTCTGACATACCTAAGCTGTAGAGGTCATTTAGGAAGCGTAGCCAAAATTTGATCCTCAAGGGACATATTAGTCTTGAAACCAAATAATTTTCCAAGGGCACCCAGGATCCGAATGAATTACCAGCCAAGAACTATGACGTGCTGACTGGGTAACTCTTCCTTGTAGACATCCTGGCCTGAGTTTTCCAGGACTTGTATTCCCCTCAAACCATCTGCTGCGCAGCTATTTTGCACATGCACATGTCACTGTATGTACCCCATAGGGATTTACATACCAGTCCAGCAGGTAATTATGTGCACAGGCCAAAACCTCAGTGTGAGGGTGGATGCAGTGGAGTTGTGGAATTCCTGGCTGACCCCCAGGCCCTGCAGAGCAGCCCATACCCTTCTTGTAACCTCCCAGACTCTTTCC